ATACTCTCAAAAGTGGGTATAGACAGGACATATATCAATACAGTAAATGTTTTATATAGCAAACCTACAGCTAACATTCTCAAAGCTGAAAAACTAAAAGCTTTCATACAGGATCTGGTACAAGCTGAGGATATCCATTCTCACTGCTGCAGTTCAACATAGTATTGGAAGTCTTAAATAGAGCAATTATATAAGCAAAATATCTAAAATCTACATTTGCAAGAAGTAGTAAATTTATAATTATTTGCAGAGGATATACCAATGTACATAGAAAAAAACAACAAGACATTTTTAAAAGAAATAGAAGAGGATGGAGGGAAACAAACAAAAATCCCTGCTTATTGCAAAACCGGCTATCTTAGCCAAATACATATAAGCACTTAATTAACTCCTTATCAAAATTCTAATGGCCTTCTCTAAAGACATAGAACAAACACTGCTAAAATTGACATGGATGCACAAAATGAACCCCACAAAATCCTGGAAAAAATAAAAATCAGAATAGCTAAAGCTATCATGACACAAGAGGAATAATGTTGGTTTCGTACTCCCAAGATTCAAGCTATACTATAAAGCTATACTAATCAAAAACAATTATGATGCAGAATTAAAAAGTACACAGACCAATGGAATAAAATTGGTCCCCTACACCTACGTAGAGAGTTAATCTGTGATTAAGTAGGCAAGTGTACATACTGGAGCAAGGAACGCCTCTTCAATAAACTGTGTTGGAAAATCTGGACAGTCACATGCAAAAGAATAAAATTAGCCCACTATCTCACACGATACACAAAAAAATAACAACACAGGAAATACACTCCACTACTTCAGCTACAGAGATGTCTTTGTGGATTCATCTCCAACAGCAAGGCAAACAAAAGAAAATAAAAACAGTTGGGGCTACAATCTCAAAAGCTTCTACACAGTGAAAGAAAACAAACAGGCACCATACTGAATGGGAAAAAATATCTGCACATCATATATCCTAGCAAAGGACTGATATCCAAGATCTACAAAGAGCTAATACAACTCAACAAAAAGAAAACAAAAAACTCAATCAAAAGATGGACGGAAAATTAACACTCCTAAAAAGAATACATACATGACCACCAGGCACATGAAAATATGCTCATTATCAATTATCATCAGTGAAATGCAAATGAAAAACACCTCATATCTGGAGAACAGCCCCTATCAAAAAAACCCAGGAACAACAAGTGCTGGTGAGGGTGTGGAGAAAAGGAACTCTCTCACAATGTTGGTGAGAACATAGACTGGGCCCAGCTCCAATAGAAAATAGCATGGACATTTCTCAAACTATTAAACATGGACTTACCATATGGCCTAGCAATTCAAGTCCTAGATATCTACCTGAAGATTACAAAGACTTGAATTTTAAAGGAAACCTGCACTCCTATGTTCAGTGCAACACTACTTAAAACAGCCCAACTATGGAAACAACCTTACTGCCTCAGAATAGGAAGATTAGGTACATATACACAACGATCAGATCTGAAAAGATTAACTCATGCCATTTGTGGCAACTTTTATAGTACTGGGGATTATGCGAAGTGAAATACATCAGAAGAAGAAAGAAAAATATGGATGATATCACTAGTAAGTGAAACACAGAGAAACAAAACAAAGGAGTAGATAAAACCAATCAGTAACAAACCCTTGATATTTGGCTGTAGAAGTGAGGTTGTCAGAGTATGAGAGGGTGGGGAGAAACTGAGGTGGGAAGGTAGACAATGGACTATGGGGGGGGGGTTTATGAGTTTTTTGGTGCTAGGCGTATGTGGTTACATCATCTACCTACGGAAATCCTGTACCTCTAAACCACAATGTTCAAACTAATTTTACAATATACAAAAAATATAGTTCTGAATTGTAAAGGGATTCATAATAAATCATTTTTGCCCCACATATAAATATAAATATTAACTGTTGTCCCAAAGTGAAGTTTTTGAATATGAAAAAATACAGAAATAAGACCAAGGTACCTAGGAAACTTAGTTTCAAACCCTACCTCCACACTTAAAAACACAGTGACTGGGTAAGTTTTTTTTATTTTTCTGACCCTCAGTTTCTCCATCTGTCAAATGGAGATAATAAACCCTGTCTCATAGGCCTGTTACAATGGTTAGATTCAATAACAGGAGAGAAAGTACCTAGTTCTATGTCTGGAAGAAAAGAGGGCCTTTGACAAAATCATGCCAGGAAACAACATTGATTTCTTCGTAATGTTGACTGCTGTAGAAGCAAGCGATCTAACACATACGTAGTTTTTGCTGCTTTTAATTGCTAAAAAAATATGTGGTGAATATCAAATCGACTGAAATGGCATGAAGATAGGGTACAGGGCGCCAGCACAGTTGGGTCACTACAGCAATGAGTCCTGTGCAGTGACCCTTGGGGAGGCAAGCAAAGCTCTGAACAGAACTGAAATGTAGTGACAAATGTGTAGAGTAGGTCAGCTGAGGTGACAGCTCCTTCCCTCTGACACTGCCATACAGGCTGCTGGCCAGCACCAGGGGCTAAGAGCCATCAGTTATAGCTCAGGGTCAGAGCAGTTTACAGCATTTGCTTAATGATATCTGTTCAGATGCCTGGAATCTCTTAGCCGAGTAGCAGCCAAAGTGGGGAGGAAGGGAGGAATTAAGAGGTGAGGAAAGGGAAATAAATAATTTCACAGAAGCAGCTATACCAGAGATTTGGCTAATTCTCCACCGAAGCCAAAACTGCTACTTTAGCCCTGCTTTAAAAAGGCTACACTAGCCTGATGCTACTATGATTTAAGGCAGAAAGAAAAGCCAGACAATGCCGTAACCCAAATTTAGATAGCTTGGCCGATAATGGAGAGGCAGATCACAAACTGAAACTATTAGATCAGAGCAACTGTCGCCAGCAGCCAGGGCTGAGCTGTGGAGGAAGGAGAAGGGAATGATGCTGGTATTTAACTTTATAGCAAAAATGGTGAAGGCGGGAATGATAGGCAGGGCTAAGTTACTAAGCTGATAGGATCTTGCAGAGCTCAAGGCTTGGTGATAGGCAAGACAGATTTTACTGTGATGACGATAAACTGAGTTACGGCACTCTCTACCAGACTGATATGGAAGTTTGTATGACTTATACACCGAAGCACATGTCTACACAGAAGTCTGACTTTAATCTGCTATTTTACCAAAAAAGGCATATCTTAGAGAGAAGGACAGGGGGAGGGAATTAGCGACATTCTCAATATTGATTCTCTGTCAGATATCTTAATATTCCTTTTAACCCTAGCAATAATTCTGTGGGGTGGGCTGTTTCTCTCCTTTACAGATGTGAAAACCAAGGTGCAAAGAGGTGAAATAACTGAGCTATTGATGCACCAGTAGGTCAAAGTCAGAGGATTCACAGAGTTCGTTACTTAGTGGAAAAAATATCCGATACCCGTAGAATAGCTTCAGTTGCATTCTTAGCTCTGAGACAGTGCCATCAGTCCCATCCACACATATTGAGGTTATTAAATGTAGCAAAAAATAGAAGAGTGTGATTGATATGAATAACTGACTTGTTATACAAGAAGCTGGAATTCTATTGCCATCGAAATTTTTCTCTTTTTGTATACTCTGTTCTTTACATCTTGTTACTGTCCTATCATTTTCCCTGTTAGTCCCACTTTTTCTTACTGCTACTCTAGAATATAAGAAAGAAGTACAGAAACAATTTTTTCTGTCAAATATCATCAGATAGCTATTAATATTTTTGGTTTTGCAGATAATAAGGTCTCTGTTGCCACTACATTCTGTTGTAGCATGAAAGCAACCCTAGCTAATATGAATAGAGGACTATACTTGTTTGCAGACACAGAAATTTGAATTTCATATAATTTCCATATGTCATGACATATTCATTTTCCCTCCAATGTTCTCATTCATTTAAGGTATAGTTTGCTAAGCCCTGATACACAGGGACCTTATTCATTCATGTCCTCAGCACCTTGAATGGGGGCAGGATCACACTAAGTAGCCATTAAACCTTGCTAAATGAATTATACCAACTATTCTTATGTTCTTATATTTTTCTACATTGTGGAATGACTTAAATTCTTTTGGAACAGGACAGGATATAAAACATAGGGCACGCTTTTAGGTCATCTAGCTGGAAGTAAAAGAACCAAGATTTGGGTCTACACTTTTATTATGTCAAATTACATTTTATTTTCATTATATCATACTACATAGAACTATATCTCCATGCCACAAAATCCTCTCTAGATTAGTTCCAACCTCCAAACATGAGTTTCCACATGTAGCAGCCAATTAAGTTTGCAGAAATAAGTTCAAGACACATTTTGAACTTATAATCATTTTAAAAGTTCAGAGTTTTGTTCAAGTTATGTCTCTTTGTCTCTATTTCTACTAAACTATAGAAAGTGAAAATGAGAAAACAATAGTTCACACAGATTCAAACTTCTTATAGGACGGTAACATGACAGTTCTGCCTTATTGCAAAGAACGCAGGAGTTAGTGCCTGCGCAACTTGGTAAGATCCCAACTTTCCCATTACTAATTGTGAAACTTTGGAAAGTTACTTACCCTCGGAGTTTCCGTTTACTACTAGGAAAAAAAAAGTGGTAAGACATTTTTCATAATAGGATTACATGGGATTGTTACTATGAGAAATAATGTATCAGTAGCTGGCACAGTTTAAGACACATAGCAGATTCTTGGTAAATGGAAACAGCAAAATAATAATAATATTAATAAATAGTATCATTGTTATTTATTCCAAAAATGAGTACCTACCAATGTAAATAAGAGACCAAAATTCCTATCCTCATAGAACTTATATTCCAGTTAGTTTTGTGAATATTTCTTGTAACCTTACTCACCATTCTAACATTAGTGGTAGTAAATGGAATAGATATCTAACTTTCTCGAACCTCAGGAAGACTTTAAGGAGAAAAGTAGTTGGGATTAGTTCTAATTCCCATGCAATTCCCAAGCACTTACCCTCCTTTTGGTGAGCCAAAGGCCGAGGAGCTGGTCTCTTTATGTGGAAAGAGGGAGCCTTGGTGGGCCCAGAGCCTGGAACAGGTCCATTGGTGGCCTTTGGTATGGCTTTGCTCCCTCCATCCTGCAGCTTAGACACCAACTTCCCCACATCCACCTCAGGGCAAGCCTCTAATTTGCCATCAGAAACAGGCCTACTTGGGGACTTCCTCCCAGCATCAGCTTCCCCACTTCTTTGAATAGGCAACTTGGCATACTGTGGTGGTTTAGGGGTTTCTATACTGCTGGTGATAGTACCATTGGGTGTTTGATGTTGAATTTCATCTAGGAAAAGTTGGAGCAAAGAGAAGATTAATGCTAAAATTATCACCTTTTTATTTTACACATGCATACATAATACTAAATATTAAAATATTAAAAATTTGCACAGATATTTGAAGGAGCTATTACTGTGGAAGAGAGCAATAATATCCCACAAAATCAGTCTTCACCTACCCCAATAAATGCAGTTATGGGTTCCAATAAAATAGGGAATTCAGGTGAAGATCTGAGTATTGGACCTCTGAAAGTTTACCATAGATTCGATGAATCCAGAAAAGGGAGGGAAAGGGAATAAGGAGTGGAGAAGAAGGAAGAGGAAACAAGAGAGAGGGGAGAGCACTATGGACCATGGTGACGGAGAACAGCGGTGCTTTGGTGGTGAGAATTATGGTGACCATATTGGAGGGGAGAAATCGTATATTCGAAAAAGTTAACAATGAAGTAAAACAATAGTACTTCATTTCAAAATAGCTAAAAAAACATTAAAAAGTAATTCAACAGGCCCTCCCTGATGGCGCAGCGGGTTAAACCACAGCACTGAGAAGCTAAAGCCACTTCCACATGAGTTCGATTCCCGCTTGCCCCGGAGGTGACCACATGGCGTGGCAGACCTCTCCTGACCCGCCCGCTGCTCCCCTCAGCAGTGTACTTCATTGATCTGCCTGTTCTGCTCCCTATTCTGTCTCTGGTGAAGCCTCTTGTCACCCCTGAGCCTCTGGACGGTATCCCAGTTCTATATGCCCAAGTAATTAAATCTTTAAGTAAATAAAATAAATAAATAAATAAAACTTTAAAAAAAAAAGTAATTAATTCAACAACTTTATAAAAAAGATGAGTATGATTTTCATCACTATAAGTTAGTAAAACCGCAATACACCAAGATGTTTTATTCAAATGAGTATATAATCCAAAAGGGACTTAGAGGCTTCAGACAATAGCATATTCTAATCTTTTTATGTCATAATATTAGTTAATTCTTAACTATTTATCTCAAAAGTAATTTGTGAAGGTCTCTTAAATTTCAAGTTAATAAATTTATCAGAATTTAGCATCCTTCTCTATCTTCATAGTTTAATCCCCAATTAGCTAGCTTATGTTCTTCCTCTAGCTTAATTATGTTCTCCAATTTCCCTTGACAATAACACATTTCTCAGTTGTTCTGAATTTTACTTAAAGCTTTGAGAACATAATGAGATCAAGGGATATGCACTCCAGAAAAACTGACTTATACTAATACATACAAAATTTTGAGAGCTAACAATAAAAGATTCATTGAGTCCTTAAAACTGCAAATGAACCCCAGATTGAGAATCTCTACTGTATGGAAATTGTCACCTTCCTTAATAAAGTAGTGGTTAAGAATATAGGTTGTAAAAAAAAAGAAAAACAAAAAGCACAGATTTTGGTAAGCTAATGAGACCAAATAGCCACGTCAATCAATTTAATACATGAGGTTTCTTTAGACCCTGATTTTTTTGTTTGTTTGTTTGTTTGTGGAACTGTATTTTATTTGTGAGATTGGGTGGTCTCATTTTTTTTTTTTTAGTATGGGCCCTGATATTTTGAATGAAATTAAGGGAAAATCTGACTAGATACAGATTTTAAGGGATTACTATTTTGTTTTCTTTCAGGTTTGACAATGGTGTTCTGATTTTAGTTAACAACAAGAACAACAAACTATTAGCGATAGGAATTGAAACATTTGGGGCTGAAAGATATGATGGCTGGGTTGATGGAGTGGGAATAAATAAAACAAAATTGGGCATGTAGTGGTAAATTTTGAAACTGGGTGACAGGCACATGAGAAGTAAAGTTTTTTTTTTTTTTAACATATGTTTACATATAAAACAATCCATAATAAAAAGTTAAACAAAAATTCAGGTTCTAGAGGTAAGTGGTCAGTTATGAATCTCAGTTCTGTCACTGACCAACTGTGGGACCTTAACCAAGTTTATAATCTCATGGTTCCTCAAAATTTTCTCCTTAATAAAATAAGAAAAATAAAATTAACTATCTCATAAAGTTGTGAAAATAATTACTTGTGATGGTATACTTAAATTAGTACCTGGTACATAATAAACACTCAATGATTGATATTTATTTTTTAATATTATTACACTCTATGTGGGCAGTGAGGCAAGAGTTTCCATGTGGGAAGGAAGGGCTAACTATTGCTGCAAAGACTTTCCCCTCAGAGAATTTTCTTCTTCTTGGAAACCTGTCTTCAGTTACTGCTGCCACTACCATTAGGATCAGGGCCAAAAGGAGTTTCTCTATAGCTCCGTACTCTGGTCCAAGGGTAGATAAATGACTCTTTTTTTATTAACTTTAGCACAATTGCCATCAGATTAGATCCATCAAATCAGGAATTATCAAAGTCTCACCAATGATAGTAGAGACTAAGTACAAGAGTGTGAAGTTCACATGCTTCCAGGACATGCATTATGACAGAAGACATATTTAAACTTCTAACAATTAAGAGTAACCTTAAGCACATCTACCTTGTCAAAATAATTTAGTACCAGGGAAATAAATTCCATCTACATGTTTTAGGTCCAACATCTCAGTTACATGTTTCTAGCAGAATAGTTTCTTCTGATGGAGAGACCCCAGAAAATTTCCATCTCTACTCTCCTTTAGGAGGGACAACAGGGCTCATCTCTGCCCTATAGACCAAAACAGTATCGTTATCATGTCAAATAAGTATGAGGTACAATCTTTATAAATAACATCTACATACACAGTCTCAGAGAAGCCGCAATGTTCCGTATGAGAAAATGTTTCCTTAACTTGGAGAAACAGCAGATGGAATGATAATAGTAATGGAGACTTTGAGACTACATCCTTCTGCAAGGTGAACCATTTCTAGATTTTGAGGTATGCTGAATAATAATGATAAAATGGTAATGTCACAATAAGAATGACAACTATAATGGTGATAATGATAATAAATTTGTGCCAGATCCTGTTCTAAGTGCTTTACATGGATTAGCTTACATGGAATATTTTACATAATTTCAAAATTATTCCATAAAGTAGTAAACTCTTATTAGTCCCATTTTACAGGTAAGGAATTTAAGGCACTGAGATATTCATTGAAGTATGTATCCAGAGTTCACACTCTGATAAGAGAGTTCACAGCTCCTCTCAAGAAATGAGTTCAGCATTTTCTCTTTTGCCTAACCAGACATCCATTTTCACAGGAAAACACAGAGCTCTGGAGACTGGAGAGAACTGGCAGTGAGTAGGTATTGCAGAGGCCAAGTAGCCAATTATTAAACTCCTATGTGTTGATAGTGGTAGGGAGGAGATTTGCAAAGTTATACACTAGTTCAGCAGAAGAGATTATAAGAAATATTATACAACAAGTAAAAACATGCAAATAAGTTCTATGAGGATGACAGGGCTATTTCTGTTTGGGGACAGGAGAAGATCCTATAAAAGGTAAAATTTAGCTGGCCTTCAAGGACTGTTTTAGGTAGAAAAAGGGTAAAAGGGCATTTCAGATAGAGAACAATTTGTAGGCGTGAAAGACTGTGGATCCCCGTGGCCTCCAGGTGCTCTAAGGCAAGGTGGCTTTGTTGGACTGAGGCTAGCTAGCTTCGGCCTCCTGCCTGTAGATGTCCTCCCTCTCCCATCTCTATTGGGTCAGCACTGGCAGCAAGCCACCAGCTTGCCCTGACCTGAATGTAGGCCAGTCTGGGCTTTTCCTCCTTTTATATCAGCTCTAGGATTAAAAACTGAACTAATAAGTTGTGAACAAAATGGACCAATTAGGTGTAAGCGAAATGGGTCAATCAGGTGTGCACTAAATGGACCAATCAGGTTCATGTCTACTTCATTAGTTAATTATTTAGATCGAAAGATGCAAAACTAGCTGACTACTGGTGTTAAGTGGTCCGATCACATGTTTAGGATTGAAAATGGTCCAATCAGGCTTGTAGGTTGGGGGAGCCTGAGGAAAATTTAAGTCAAAGCAAGAGCCATCTTGAGTCAGTGTGCAGCCAGCCTCCAAAGATAGAAGTTGGACCACCACTAAAGAAGTCAGCAGTCAGTCTCCAAAAGAAGAATCATTCTGCTCATGGCCTCCAAAAACAGGATTCTTTGGACTACCTTCAAAGAAGTCAGCAGTCGACCTTTGAAGAGCAAATATTCATTGGACTGCCTTTGAAGAAGATTCTGCTCCCAGCCTCTGAAGAGAGAAATGCATTGAGCATTTGAATCCTTGGGATTCACCAGACCTTTGATGACCTTCGAAGACTTTGTGGACTTCATAGACTTCTGTACTTCCATACCTCCACAGACCTCCATAGAGATTCAGCTGCTTCACCTGCCTCTGGCTCTGACTCTGATATCACCTGAAAGGAGTACTGTTGGGCTCAGTCCACCATCCCAAAGTGCTGACCATGGTCTTTAGTTTTCCAGTACCACTTCCTAGTGCTGTTCCAGTATCCAGCACGTCTTTCAGACTGCCATTGTGGGCAGCTGCAGTGCCAACTCATCTTCCATAAGTCGTCTTTGTTTGGGACTTTGGACCGTGTGGACACTGTCTGAGATGAGAGAGGCAGCTAAGGCCTTCAAGGCCCAGCACAATGGCACCTCTTTTATAGGTTCTTCTCCTGTCCCTCCAAACAGAATTAGCACTGTCATCCTCATAGTACTTATTTGCATGATATTACTTGTTGTATAATATTCCTTATAATCTCTTTATAATATTCCATATAATCTCTTTCTTCTGCTGAACTAGTGTGTAACTTTGCAAATCTCCTCCCTAACACTATCGACTTCTTTTGCCCAATCTCCCGTTTGTTAAATAAATCCTGTTGTTAAACACTGACCCTGAGTGCAACTGAGTGTTATTGCAGATGTGTGTACAGGTAAGAACCCACCAACAATAACTTGCCATCTACCTTGGACACTACCCCTTAGTACTGTTTTAGATGCTCTTTTAAGAGTCTTCTTTACTGTTTCAAGATCACGGTTTAAGGACATGTAAAACAAAA